TTTACGGTTTGCTGCGGAGAACAACTTGTGACTTGTTAAAGTTCAGCTAAATATGAGTGAATATCCCAAATTACAGATTTTGTGTATCTGATCAATAATGAATCTTCACGTAAACTAGCACATGAAGTTCAAAAGCTAAATAAACAGAGCAGTCACAAAGTTCTACATAATGTGTATAAAAAAGCCTAAATGATCAGTTCCTGACATCTGATTGTGTGTTCTGTGAAGTGTTATAGGTCACTCACTTGAGTGTGCATGGCCTGAGTCTAAGATGAGTGGTCTTTTCTGTTCATCTTAAAAGATATTGTTAGTCTGTGTCAGGGTCACTTGGATCTCCATTTCCAGTTCTTCATTTCTTTAATGTGGATTCTTATCTCCACCTGGCCTGTCTTTCCACCCGAAGAACTTCCCTTCACATTTCTTGTTGTGTAGGTCTGAGGGTTTGGAGTTCTTTCAAGCTTTCTATATGACCGGAAGTCTTCACATTACCTTCATTTTTGAAGAATATTTTCTCTGAGTATATAATTCAAGGTCTGTGACATTTTTCTTTAGGTACTTTATTTATTTTTGGAGACAGAGTCTCGCCCTCTCACCTAAGGCTGGAGCGCAATGGTGCAATCTCAGCTCACTGCAACCTCTGCCTCCCAGGTTCAAGCAATTCTCCTGCCTCAGCCTTCTGAGTAGCTGGGATTACAGGCATGTGCCAGCACACCTCACCAATTTTTTGTGTATTTAGTAGAGACGGGGTTTCACCATGTTGGCCAGGCTGGTCTCAAACTCCTGATCTCATGATCCACCTGCCCTGGCCTCCCAAAGCGCTGGGATTACAGGCATGAGCCACCACCTCGCCTCTTTGGGTACTTTAAAGATGCTGGTTCATTATCTTCTTGACTGCACTGTTTCCAACAAAAGGTCTGCTGTCATCCTTAACTTTGTGCCTCTGTAATAGATTATCTGCCTTTTTTCCTTCTTGCTGCATTTAATATTTTCTCCTTATTACTGGTTTTGAGCAATACAGTCATGTGCTTTTAATGCAGTTTTCTTCATGTTTTTTGTACTCAGGGTTTACTGAGCTTTTAGCTATATGGGTTTTTTATTTCAGCTTTCAGATATATGGGTTTATGGTTTTCATTAAATTTGAAAAAGGTGGGTATGGTGGCTCTTGCCTGTAATCCCAGTCCTTTGGGAAGCTGAGGCAGGTGAATCACTTGAGGCCAGGAGTCTGAGACCAGCGTGGCCAAGATGGTGAAACTCCTCTACTAAAAAGACAAAAATTAGCCAGGCTTGGTGGTACATTCCTGTTATCCCAGCTACTTGAGAGGCTGAGGCATGAGAATCGCTTGAACCCAGGAGGTGGAAAATGCAGTGAGCTGAGATTGTGCCACTGCACTCCAGCCTGGGTGACAGAGCAAGACCCTGCCTCAAAATAATAATTAATAAATTGAAAAAATTTGATCATTATTTTGTATGTTTTTCATCCCTCTTCTGGGAATTCCAATTATATCTCTAGCAGGCCATCTGAAGTTGTCCCACAACTCACTGATTCTCTACTCATTGCTATGTCTTCATGTTCACTCATCTTTTCTTCTACAGTGTCTGTCACTAATTTGATCTAGTATATTTTTCATCTCGGATATTATAGATTTCATTTCCAAAAGTTTCATTTTGGTCTTTTACAAAATCTTTCATGTCTTGATTTAACTTTTGTTGAGTATAGTTATAAAAATTATTTTAATGTCATTGTCTGCTAATTCTAAAGTCTGTATCAGTTCTGGATCAGTGGTTTTGGTTGTTTCATTTCTTTCCTCATTATGGGCCATATTTTCCTACTTCTTTGCATACTTAGTATTCATTTTTTTGGATGGCAGATATTGTAAATTCTACCTTGCTCGGTGCCAGATATTTTTATATCCCTAGAAATACTGTTGAATTTTGTTCTACGATACAGTGACTTGGAAATGACATGATCCCTTTGGAGCTTGGTTTTAAGGTGAGACCAGAGCCATGCTTAGTCTAGGGCTAATTATTCCCCACCAATGAGGCAAAATCCTCCCGAGTCTTTCAATCAAAGCCTATGAATTATGAGGTTTTCAACTGTCACAACTGGTGGGAACAGACCTTACTCCCAGCCTTGTATGAGCACCAAACACTGTTTCCGCAATCACTTCAGGTGTTCTTTCCCCAGGCTTGGTGGCTTCCTCACATGCCAGTGCTGCTCAGTACGCAGCTGAGTGTTTGACGGTTATCCTCTGCAGGTCTGGAGCCCTCTGTGAGGCCCGCTCCTCTCCAGCACTCTGGCCTACGAACTACAATGGCTACCGACTCCCTAGACTCTGGCCACAACTCCTCGACTGAGACAGCCTGCCGGGTACACCTGGGTTCCCCCTATGTTGCCCAACCCAAAACTCTGTTCAGGGAGACAGTGGGCAATCACAAGGCTCACCTCACTTGTTTCCTGTTTCTCACAGATCAGTATTCTTCACAGCCTGATACCCTCATTGGCAACTGCTAGTATATGGGTAGGGTTTACTGATTACAAGCCTCACTATAAGATAATCTGCCTGGACCATTTCACTGGGCGTTAACAACAATATTTTTAGGTTTTATCTCTTGGGCTGAACAGATTTCCCTAAGAAGAAACATCTTATCTATTGCTTAGAGAGCACACACCTGGCTGACAGGTTCTATACTACGTAGTTGAAGGCATTGCAAGCAGTCTGAAGACACACCACAATGAAAAGTATAGGAGGCTCTGCAGTAATGCAGCATGAAAAAAACAAAAAAAAGAAAATTACAGGTAGCTCATATTACAAAGGGTTGATTTCTGAATATAAAGAGCTTCTATAAATCAGAGAAAAAAATCTAAGCAATTCAATGGAAAAACAGGTCTCCCAAAATGAATACATGATTTAAATAAAAATATAGATGGCTTTTCTCTTAAAAGAAAAATAAAAGGATATTTAACAATATTTTACTATATACATTACAGGCTAGGTGCAGAGGTTCACACTTACAATCCCAGCAATTTGGGACGAAGAGGTGGGTGGATCACTTGAGGTCAGGAGTTTGAGACCAGCCTGGTCAACATGGTGAAACCCCCATCTTTACTGAAAATACAAAAATTAGCCAGGTATGGCAGTGCATACCTGTAATCCCAGCTAATTGTGAGGCTGAGGCATGAGAATCGCTTGAACCTGGGAGGCGGAGTTTGCAGTGAGCCAAGATCATGCCACTGCATTCCAGTCTGGGAGACAGAGTGAGACTCTGTCTCTAAATAAATAACATAACATAACAAAATAACATATACATTACAGTGCCCTTGTGTAATAAAGGAAAAAATGTGTAAAAAAAAGTATTTTTATATGAAAAATATAAATTAAAATCACCTTGAAATATTATCACCTGTCTTACTGGCAAAGATTCAGCTATTTGACAAAGGGACTTTTAGCTTAAAATAGCAGATTGAGCATACTTGCTTGCTTTTACTGGCCCACTAAAACAGCAATAAATAATTTTTAACTTCTTTGTCTAACAAGCAAGGAGAAAAGATAAAATAACAGTAAACATTTTTGGAATTCATGAAGCAGATGAATGAGTATTGACTTTGCAGACCGAAAAAGTCGGATTCTTAGGCTAGAAATTGAGAAAACCAAGAAGCAACCAGTTTACATTATGGAATTCCCCAAAAACTTAGGAACTGGCCATTGTGGGTATCTCTGGAAGTAAAGTTGAGGGTGACAATTACACTAAGAAGACTTCTTGAAAGTCAATTTTCAGAAAGTCAGACACTGAATTATTCACTACTGTGTTAACAAGCCACTCCCAAACTAATTGACTTAAAACAGCAATTGTTATCTCCCTGTTTCTGCGGATCATGAATTCAGAAGTGACTTGATTGGGTAGCTCAGAGTCAGACAGCAGCTGAGACTACACTCATCTGAAAGCTTGACAGGAGCTTGCAGTCAATTCCAAGGCGGCTCACTTCCAAGGCCGACAGGCTGCAGGCTGGGTACTGGCAGAAGGCCTCAGTTCCTCCCTGTGTGGGCCTTTCTCAGTGCTAAGTGTCCACACAGCATGATGCCTGGCTTCCCCCAGAGTGAGTGATCCCAGAGACCATGGTGAAAGCTGCAATGCTGTTATAATGTAGACTCGGAAGTCACTTTTGCCATATCCTATCTGTCACACAGATCAGCCCTGATGTGTTACATGAGGGGACTGACCAAGGAGAGGAACCCCAGGCAGTGAGGATCACTAGGGGCCAATTGGGATGCTGGCTACCTCAGATGTGGAGCTCTCCTCTCCAATGCATCTCCTAGTCTAAATAATCTTGTGACTTTCCCATCACCTCCCTAACAGAAGGTTTCAAGTCTATTATCTGGAAAGACCCAAAACACAGTTTCTCAACTGTGGTACCCCATTGTTGAGAGTGAAGAATTATAATAAAAACATAGAGGTATGTGAACGTCTTTTCCTCGGTAATCTGAAGTGTTTCCTTTACCATATACTAAATTTCTTTATATACTTGAGTTTATTTATGGGTTTACTAACTTGTTTCATTAATCCATCTAAGTCAGTATGATAATGTTTTATTACTGAAGTTTATGTCCATTAGGAGCTGTCTCTTATTATTATTCTTTTTTGGCAACTGTCTTCTGAAATCATGGCTACATGCAAATAACTCTCAAGCTCCAAATTTCTAAAGAAATGTAACATAGTGGGCTTCTTGGGACAGACTGAAAACATTCATATACAAGAAAGCTCACTATTCCATTAATAAGAAAATTATAAGTATTCATGAACACACAAGAAGTATGAAATTGTGCCCAATTAATTAATTGGTGGTAAGGTCCTTTTTCCTTAAGAGAACTATAGTCTACTTACATAAAGGAGATACATAACCAGAGAATACAAGTTAATGGTTTCTGCAACTGGCTTTACAAATAGCAGTTGACATCTAATATTTGACAAAATATTTTGCTTCAAAATAAATATCTTCTTACTTGTAACAAAAGCAGCTGGAGAAGATGATCATAGCAATTATGCAGACAGCCATAGAAATGAGCAAAACCAGCCATCGAATGCTGCCATCAAAAAATGGACCTGACAATGAAAGTAAACAATGAAACAAACAATGAAATGAAAAAATAATCTGTAGTGTTAAATTCTAGGTAGCTTGGTTACTGTAAAACCAGAGAAGTTATTTGACTAGAATCATGCTCTGACTTTTCTTGGCTAACCTACCTATGACAACAGGGGGCAGTGTGGGTTGCAAATACTGGTTACACAAATTGGTCCGACAACATTCTATTGTCCGGCGTAGCTGGGCTTTCGGAGAATCCTAAAAGAAGAGTAATGGTAAAATTAGAAATGGTTTGGTATTTTAAACTGATAATAAATCTTTTTAGTATTCATAAAATACAATTTCTAATTCAGTGAGTGAAAAGGACTTGCAAATTTTATATGTAGAAACAGATTATTGAAAGACTTAAATTTGTGCTGAAATAGTGAAAACTGGAAAACGGCTTTTCCTAAGAACATCTCCATGTGGATGGTGTGTTAGGCACTAAACTAGAACATCAAATCTGAGCTGAGGTAATTACTATCATAAACTGATCTGGTACATATGATCTCACTGTGGTGCTGAGATATGGATGAGATTTATGATCAGACTAAAAAGTGGGGGGTGTCCTAGTCCAAAGAAAAGGCTGGTTAGCAAGGCGGCGGAGCGTGCAGAGGCCGCTGCAGACCCTGCCTACGCTAGCCATGAGGTCGACATGGAGACAGGTTGAGCATCCATGGTGAGAGAAAGGCAACTACAGAAAGCATTCCTGAAAGCTGATTAGAAACCACCAACCAGAGGAGACTGTCCCTAAGATAGTAGAAAGCTGGCACAGAGAAGGACAGTCATCAGAAAGGCAGCAGCACTTACAAGTGATGTTTTATTTGATTAACAATACAGTATCTGACAAGTTGAATGCTGCCATTTCAGCACAGCCTGGGAGAACTGCCATTCTGGACCAACATGTGAACAGAAAAGAACTGTTTGCCACTATACAAGTAGCAAGAATGTAAGCACAAATTAACCATGTTATTCTTAATATCAGATGGCCAGAAAGGAAAAGCCTCAATATAATTGGCTATGACTTTAAAAAGGTAAACATGAGCCCATCAGTTTCTGTTGGCAAGATGGTCAAGAGCATCTGGAAATCTCCAAATACATGTTTACATTTAAGTTTTATTAATAACTTTTAAACAATTTTTACTTTTAACTGAGCATACAGAGAGAGAGAGAAGAGTTAGGGTTAAACTGGAGAGTCTGAAATAATCCCAGATTCAGAGAAAACTTACACGACTAATGAAATGAAAAGCACATAACTAATGATGAATGAAAGAAGTGCCAAGCATCCAAGAAGGGTTCCAGGAAGGCTAAAATGAGCTTGGCCTTGCAGAAGAGAAAAGTGGGAAGAAAAACCAAGAAAGGGCTTCTCTGGCAGCATGGGGAAAAGGATTACTAGGCAACAGGTGTACTGCTGACATGATAGTAGGCGATGAGGACAAAAATGTACAATTCTTCAACTCCTGTCTTGTTTCTTCTTCTCTGCGAAGGATGCTGACAGGGATGACGAAAGTAGCTCGAACACTACTAGGTGGAAAATGACATCCCAAATGTATGAAGAGACCTTACGATGCTTTTGTATTCTATGAGTTCCTATCTTCTAACCCAGGTGAATTATATCCCAGGAAGATGATAGCACTTGTAAAAGAGAAGGCTGAAAGACAGGTGTGATTTAAAGACTTTAGAAAGAAGGAGAGTTGGAAACTATAATAGATAACTGAATGTTATATTACATTACTTTTATTTAAAAGGGAAAAAAAGTAGACTTGAAGCTGAGTAAAAGCTGGGTATGACTGTGTGTGCCTACAGTTCCACTTACTTGGAAGGTTGACACATGAGGATCAGTTGAACCTAGGAGTTCAAGCCCAGCCTGGGCAATAGAGTGGGACCCTATCTCTAAAAACAGTAATAATATTTTTAAAAAAGAACACAAAAATAGACTCTGCCACCAGATTAAGGCAGCATATTGAGATAAGGTCTCAATATTACAGAAAATGCAAGGGTTTTGGAATCAAACAATTGGAATCCTACCTTTGCCAGTTATTCACTTTGTGACCTTGACCAAGTAATTTATCTCTGGGCTTTAATGTGCTAAAAAATACAGGCTAGCTGGGAGCAGTGGCTCATGCCTGTAATCCCAACACTTTAGAAGGCCAAGGCGGGTGAATCACCTGAGGTCAGGAGTTCAAGACCAGCCTGGCCAAGATGGTGAAACTTCGTCTCTACTGAAAATACAAAAATTAGCTGGGCGTGATGGCGGGCACCTGTAATCTCAGTTACTCGGGAGGCTGCGGCAGGATCACTGCTTGAACCAGGGAGATGTAGGTTGCAGTGAGCCAAGATCATGCCACTGCACTCCAGACTGCACTCTAGACATGACACTGCTCAGACTGGGCGACAGAGCAAGACTGTGTCTCCAAAAAAAAAAAACAGGTTAAAAAAATATGAGCAGGGCACAGTGGCTCACATCTGTAACCCTAGCACTTTAGGTGGCAGAATGGCTTGAGCAGAGAAGTTTGAGACCAGGATGAGCAACAGAGTGAGACCCCATCTCTAAAAACATTTAAAAATTAGCCAGGTATAATCACAGCTATACCACAGAAATATAAAAATAAAAAATTAGCCAGGTATGGAAGCACCCCCCATGGTCCCAGTTACTAAGGAGGCTGAGGTGGGAGGACCGCTTGAGCTCAAGAGTTTGAGGCTGCAGTGAGTTGTAATTGTGCCACTGCACTCCAGCCTGGGTGATAGAGCAATATCCTGTCTTAAAAAAAAAAATCTGCTTTATAGTATTGTTAGGGGAAACAAGGTAGAATATACTGAATCCCCAAGATACTATACACATATAGCAAATACTCAATAAATTAATTTCCCTTCCTCTGAGCTTGACATGAATCCCAGATGAGGTTCTAGACTAGGCCAAAAATCTTATGAGCCCCTAAAGACCCAACGTGGCTTCACTAAGAATAAGCAACACCTGACTCATCTCATGTTTGTCTTACTCAGGTTAACTATGTATCTGGGTCGGCAAAACTCTGGTTTGTCTAGATTACAAATTTGGGTGACACAGCCTTTCCTTTTCCTGCACTCTCTACTCCTACCCTCTGCCCAAGTCAACTTGTATTTCTAGATTTATGTGGAGAATACAAATTCTTGTGGGAATGGCAGCTAGGTTTCTTTTTTTTTTTTTTTGAGATGGATCTTGCTCTGTCGCCAAGCTGGATGGAGTGTAGTGGCGCAATCTCAGCTCACTGCAACCTCCAACGCCCTGGTTCATGCGATTCTCTTGCCTTAGCTTCCCGAGTAGATGGGATTACCAGTGTTCGCCACCATGCCCAGCTAATTTTTGTACTGTTAGTAGAAATGGGGTTTCACCACAATGGCCAGGGTGGTCTCCATCTCCTGATCTCATGCTCCCCCCCCTCAGCCTCCCAAAGTGCTGGGATTACAGACATAAGCCACTGTGCCTGACTGGTAGCGAGGTTTCTGAAAAATAATTTGTCGTATAGGAGGAAACAGGGTAAGCAAAATTTACCAGTGCAGCCTGGGGAGTGGAAGGAACACAAGGCCTGGGGATAGGCACTCACGTCTGTTCTGCACCATGCCAGAAACGTGAGGCCTGATGATAGGCACTCACAGCTGTTCTGTGCCACACCAAGAATGCGAGGCCTAGGGACAGGCACTCACGTCTGTTCTGCACCACACTTGGCAGTATGTGAAGGCATTGGGGAAAGGTTTAGGATGAGCATGAGAGAGCTGTGCTTGGGTGAGTTGCTCTACTTGGGTGATGTTTACCAAGAAATACAGAAAATTAGGTAAGTGCTGGTCAAAATTTTTGCTGATATAACCCAATTCTTAAAAGCAATGTATCCCTCACATATTTTTCAGGTGACACCTAAAAATTTTCACTATAAATTTAATAATTTCTGGCTTACTGCACACAATGACACTTTGAAATAGAAGTATTACATCATTTTCAAATAGAAGTGTTATATCAGTTTCTAATGCACTCAGTAGAATCTAAATAGCATTGCAATTTGATACCCATTATCATCATTTCTAAAAAAAATGAACAAATGCTTCTTTTAACAGTGAGATATTTTATACTAGAACTCTTATTTCTTCTTGAACTCTTATTTCCTTTCAGTATCTCCCACAATAATTATGTCCTAAAGTAATATATAACTGTCCACATTAAAGGTAAGTACATAAATTCTTTTATTTCCTGTAACTGTATGTCTTTAAGTCCTAGAAAATTATTCTCCTTTATCATAATCATTATTACCATAAAATTGATCAAAACAATATATATATTACAATCTTTATTAAATATAAACTTAAGAAAATGTTACCGGAAAAGGCATTTTTTTTCTTTTTTTGAGACAAGATCTGGCTATATCACTCTGCACACTGGAGTGCAGTCATATGATCTCAGCTTACTCCCAGGCTCAAGCCATCCTCCCATCTCAGCATTTTTTTTTTTTGAGACAGTCTTCAGGCTAGAGTGCAGTGATGCTATCTCAGCTCACTGCAACCTCCACCTTCTGGGTTCAAACGATTCTCCTGCCTCAGCCCTCCAAGTAACTGGGATTACAGGTGTATGCCACCACGTCCAGCTAATTTTTGTAGTTTTATTAGAAACGGGGTTTTGCCATGTTGCCTAGGCTGGTCTCAAACTTGTGAGCTCAAGTGATCTGCCCGCCTCAGCCTCCCAAAGTGCTGGAATTACAGGAGTGAGCCAGCCCGTAATTGCCTAAAGTCCTTCCAAAGCCTATGCTAAAAATGCCATAAAGATTCTATCATCAAAAATTATTTTCAATGATCTAGCAACTTGGTTGAAAGCAAACAACTGAAAACCATCTGTCAGGTAAACACTTATTTGATATCCCCACATAGCCTATACTGATGTCTTTATTTCAAATTACAACACAGTTTGGAAATTTGAAGTTTTACACCTCAGGCCTTCAATTTGTAAACTAGGAGGGGGTGACTATGAAGAGAGGAAGGGAAAGAGAACTGCTGGAAAATGCTTGAGAAGTTTCTGTTCTCAGGCAAAGAAATATTCAGCAACAGGACCTACGGAAGTTCAGGATCCAAAAACCAATTCCCTTAAAACTATCTACGTGCTTGTTACCCTTGTATAACACAGTTTGAGTGTACCCAGGGATACGGGTAACAGTGTGAAGACGGCTGTTAGAGAATCAATATGGTCAAAGCTGACATCTATTAAGCCCTTACTATGTGCCAATTATGCTAAACTATTCACATGTATATCACTTGATCCTTACAATAATTCCTTCATGGATGAGAAAACAAGAGAGCTGAGTGCCTTGCCCAAAGGTTCATAGCAGTATATAGACTTGAACAGCTTGTCAAGTTTAACTACTAACTTGTAAATTCAGTTTAGGACAGGCCTACTCTTGGGGCCTGTAGGACACTGGTTATTACTGCTGGGCTCAGTGCCCTAACCATAGCTCTTTATTCAATTTTTTTAAGTGATTAAAAAAATGTATAGTATGTGTGGTTGATAAATATGCAAATAGCCTAAAACTGGAACAACTAAATTAGCATCCTTTAAATCCCAACAAATTAGAAAAAAGGATACTTATAAGATAAAATTCACATAGGCAAGTATATAACAACTAAATAGGAAAACTCATTCCATTCCCATCTACTTGTTTGTGTGAAGAAACCAACAGCACCAATGAAGAGTGGAGGAGATGTGGCTCAGCAGCCGCATGAGTAACAGGGTGATTTCAGCCGACAGAAAGCTCAATGGTTCGAGAATATGGTGTGACTGCCAAACATCTGACACGAGACTTGGCTGTGTTTAGAAAAAGGGAATAGGGTTATTTATTCTCTATTTTTTTCCTTGGTCAGACCACACTCAATTCTGCCTATTACACTGAGGAAGTGGAGAGTGAATAACTCCAAAGCTGATCATATAAGGAGCAGCTGAGGTCACTGTGAACTACTATTTTCACTGGGCAAAGACTAGCAGGATGAAGCACTTTTTTTACTTAGTAAAGGGCTGTCACCTTAAAGAGAGATTAGGTTTGTTCTCTATGGTCCAAAGAGTCAGACAGGAAGATAGATTTGCAGTCATTTGCAAAGAGGGTGATTCCAAATATTAGCCGAGAGGTTGAAACATGTAACCTCTAAGGTTTCTATCCATCCTGAGAATTTCTAAATAACAGGAACAATTTTCTAACATAGCTCGGACTTAAATTATGCACAAACAATTCTATCTGGAGCTGGTGTTTGGAAACACTGGAAGGATCTCCTGGGACAAAATTATTATCCAGAATTTTGAAGCAATCAGGTTTATAACCAAGGACCATCAGGATGCTCATAAGCTATTACCATCCTGATTCCTTTGCTGCTGCTTTTAAAGTAGCCCCACTAACACCTCCTTACAAGGCCTTAACATTTTTTTTTTCAATTTTAGTGGTTTCCCTTGAGTTTGCAATATATCTTTAACATTTCTAAGTTGTCTCCGAGTGATACAAAGGTTATTGCCAATATCTCACAAGTCTTTTCAGTAAATGTTATAATCTACAAATAAGTGTGAAAATATCATTTTTGCAGTCATGACAACCGAGAATGATTTAAAACTTTTTATAGTAAAATAATCTGGAATTTCAATTATGATAATCGTATTACTTAAATAAAATTTTTATTTTTAAAGAAACAAGTTAGCTGCAATTATTGTGTTAAGAAATCTTAGAAACTTTTTCTCATTGAAAGTTGTAATCAGTAGCCAAAGATGGTTGAAACTTAAAAAAAGATTTTTATTTATCTATTTTTTTTTTTTTGAGACAGGGTCTCACTGTGGCCCCTGCTGAAGTGCAGTGGAAAGATCTCGGCTCACTGCAATCTCTGCCTCCCAGGGTCGAGCAATTCTCCTGCCTCAGCCTCCCGAGTAGGGAAAAAAGAAAATTGTAATCACGCTGGCAAAAGTGGCTCACACCTGTAATCCTAGCACTTTGGGAGGCCAATGCGGGCAGATCGCTTGAGCCCAGGAGTTTGAGACCAGCCTGGGCAACATGGTGAAACCCCATCTTTACAAAAAAACAAAAATTAGCCAGGTGTAGTGGCATGCACCTGTAGTCTCAGCCATTCAGGAAGCTGAGGTGAGAGGCTGGTTTGAGGTTGCAGTGAGCAGAGATCGCAGCACTACACTCCAGCCTGGACAACAGAGCCAGACACAGTCTATGGAAGAAAAAAAAGGAAAAAAGGGAAATTGTAATCAATTAGCTTTTCAGAAATGATTTATTTATAAATTATATATTTGAATACAGGACACAATGTAGACAGTATACATTCCTCCAACACATTTACTGATGTGAACATACAGCAATGTGTGCCTCAGGCATGTTTCTCTTAGGGAGAAATCATGCTTTCATGCGGCCCCTCCCTCTGTCTCATGGGTCCCAAATTATATCTTACTTTGCACTGAAAATCAGATCCTTCATATTTCATACACCCTGAAGCTAATGTGGTTTCTCCCTGGTCATCTTCTTCTATGATGGCAAAGCAATGTCCATTAGTTCTAAAACAGAAAAAAAAAATGAAACATAAATTCACATAAAAAGTACTAATGAAATTTGAGTCTGAATGTGAACAGGTATGGATGGCCTTTAATATTTTGTTTTGTGATTCAGAATTGCATTCACATGTGATTTATTGGCAAAGTCAAATAGGTTTTAAGACAAATCAAAGTTATATCTGAGCTAAGATCTAAAAAGCCAGTGACAATCCTATGTCAAGTAGAAAAGGATTTCTACTAAACAAGTCCTCTACATGTGAGTTATGTGATTTTTCTTTGCTAATCACAGGCATGTGATCACAGAAAGCTGATTTATAAAATTTTATAACGTAAGTCATGTTTGGAAAATATACTTTAAAATACTTGTCTCTTTTTACTCATATTTTCAGTATTCCCATATTGTACATGATAATAGATAAAAACGAACTTTTCTCTGAAACATACAAATAGACTCAATGACCAAAAACAAAAGCGGTGGGGGGGGGGTGGAAATTGGGAAGAACAGATTAATCAAGAGCCTGAAAGGCATCTTTTACTGAATATGATAGGAAAACAGGGAGAACTTTGAAATAACCTTTCAATCAATTTACATACCTATATTTAATGAAATTCTTATCATTTTAGTGTTAGTGTCCTGGAGTTTCCCCTTAATATATTCATACAGACTTTAACAGGTATGAGAGAAATTTCTAAGAGCTTTTTCTATACTCCTATTTATTGTTAGTATCAGGAATTGTGCTGCTTCTACTTAGAAGAATTTTGCAGAATTCTTTGTTTTCTGTTAGGAGAAAATGTTAAGTGTGGGGTAGAATTCTGTTAAAATAGATGATTCAGTTTTACTCTGGGTTACTAAGGTACTAACAGAAAACCCATTGTATCAGGCAGGTGCTACAGGCAAGAAGTTTCGCAAAAGATTATTTGGTGACATAGTGGGGAGTAGTCCCCTGCAGGCAAACTCCCAGGAAGGTGTAAATGGAAAACTAGTCACCTCAGCCACACAGAGCCCACCACCATGAGGGAACAAGTAGCAAACCTAAGACCCGGTGGTCATCACATGGGTTCACGAGTTTACATGCTTTCTATCTGGTCCATTCAAGGAGCATACAATTATTAAGAAAATACAAAACACAACATTCATTATTGTTTTTATAACAAGGAGACAATTAACTGACTGATGAGGCTGAGTTGTTCAGGGAATTTTTTTGGTTTTATTAAGTCAATACGTCAGTGCCTCCAACAAATGTGTACTAGAATTACATGATCATACATAAACATGTTTCATAGTTAACATAAAATACAGTAGAAAAATTAAAATAGTTTTATAAATCAGATTTGGATTCCTTAAGTTCACAGGTAAGAAAAAAGCGTAAAATTAATTAACACAATATGGTTCTCATATATCTGCAAAGCATTTCAACCAATTAAGAAGTAGGAGGGCCGGGCATGGTGGCTCCCGCCTATAATCCCAGCACTTTGGGAGGCCGAGGTGGGTGGATCACGAGGTCAAGAGGTCGAGACCATCCTGGTCAACATGGTGAAACCCCGTCTCTACTAAAAATACAAAAATTAGCTGAGCATGGTGGCGCGGCCTGTAGTCCCAGCTACTCGGGAGGCTGATGTAGAAGAATTGCTTGAACCCAGGAGGCGGAGGTTGCGGTGAGCTGAGATCGTGCCATTGCACTCCAACCTGGGGGGTAACAAGAGCGAAACTCCGTCTCAAAAAAGAATAAGTAGGAGGCCAGGTGTGGCAGCTCACACTAGTAATCCCAGCACTTTGGGAGGCTGAAGTAGAAGAATGCTTGAGCCCAGGAGTTTGAGGACCAGCCTGGGCAACAAAGCAAGACACCATCTATAGTTTAAAACAATTCGTTTTAATTAAAAAGTAGTAGCAGGCTGTGGGTGAGCTTTTTGGTTTCTTTTTTGGTAATCTCTAAGTTCTCAAAAATAAGCATCAATAACTTTAAGATTAAAAGATCATTTAAAAAAATCAGATGGTAAACAAATACTAAATCCCTTTGAACTTACTTTAAAAGCTGCAGTATAACATAATTCTAATACAGTAACTTACCTATCAATCACTTAATGGAGTAATGTTCTAATATACAAAACAAAAAGCTTTTTGGCTTTCTGGAAAGATACCATATATGAAGGAAAAAGAACCTCAGACAAGTTTAATAATTCTTAAAATAGCACTACATGCAACTCTATTCTCTTAACTCTTAAGAAGGACTTCGTAAAATACTTACATGCATGTGTTATTAATAGCATCATCCGGGCAGTGCCCTGAGCAATAGCACTTTAAAAAAGGCAAGGTATCCTCTGGTGCCAAGGTTACTCCATTTTCTGACTTCTTCTGGTCAGAGTCTGATTTCATCCCAGTGCCATGGAGCATACTGTCTAGATTCTGTCCTGCATTCAAATATGTAATTTGTAAGTAACTCATTTCTGAAAAACTAATTGTTTGATTACAATTTTCAAGGAGAAAAAATTGCTAAGCTTTCTTATCACAATAATTACAGTTAACATTTTTCTTTAGAAATATAAATTTAATTCACCCAACAGTCATTTGTTAATAAATTATTATGCAGAGTATTACTGCACCAGGTATCGTGGGGTATATGAAGACAGCTATATCACAATTTCTGCACTAGTGAAGGACAAACAAGAGTGGTGCAGGGCAGAATACAGTCAAAACTTGTTTTTTATATTTTTAAAATAACTTAAATTAAAAAAAAAATGTAACCAGGGGAAATCATAGCGGTCAGCACATCTGGAGTGCAATGAATACACCCTGCCCTGGGAAAACCACCTTCGTGATCATATCTCCCCTGCCAGGTAAATATACAGTCATCACTTGTAAGAAAGGCACAAAACGGGGAGACTTCAGAGAAGTCTGTGAGAGTTTCCAATGATTAAATACAGACAAATTATGATTCTTCTTGTAACTCCTTGGTTTAAAACTTATGACTAGCTCTTTTTAACAAGTCCTTTATTTGTGCTTCTACGCAGAAAAGGAGTTAACTAAGCATCTTGCTTTCGCCTTTAATTGCTTAAGTAAGGAAATCATGAGAGCATGGGGACCAATCACGTTATCTGGAGACTTCTGCCTCAAGGTCATTGGTTTGATTCCAGACCATGCTGCCAGAAACTGAAAGTTACAGAAGGGCAGCAGTTAGCTCACAGAAATGGAACTACATTCTTACACTAGAGTCTAGTAGCCTGCAATGACAGATACTGTCATATTTGGCACTAAATCTTTCAGGCTGGAAGCAGAACAGAACCAAAACAACTGTTCTAATCATTACTTTCTCTCTCTCTGACTCAGCTAGACCATTCTTTGTGGGTTATTCTCAAGGGAATGAAAGGGCAGAACCAAAGAGATGAGTGTATATGTATTTCATTATAAATGTTAAATTAGTGGTTCAAGGCACAAAGCAGACTTGACTTTACATTTACCATACTGATGAGATAAACTACTGAAAAGACAAAAAAAAAATCACATATGCACATACTGATAACAGAAAAAGTGTTGCTAAATAAAGTGTTTTGGTGATTCGATGTCTTCAGTTTTAATAATCATCACTTTTTTTTTTTTTGGAGACATGGTCTCACTCTATTGCCCAGGCTGGAGTATAGGTACGTGTTCACAACTAACTGAAGCCTCAAACTCCCAGACTCAAGTGATCCTCCCACCTCAGCCTCCAGAGTAGCTGCGACCAAGGGCATGTGCCACCACGCCCCACTAATTTTTAAATTCTTTGTAGGGACAAGGTCTCCCTATGCTGCTCAGGTTGGTCTTGAACTCCTGGGCTCAAGCAATCCTCCCACGTCAGTCTCCCAAAGTGCTGGGATTACAAGGATGAGCCACCATGCCTGGCCAATAACCTTTATTTTCTTATGCTGAATACTTAGTAAAGGAATTTGCTACCCCATGAGTATATATTAACAGGAGAGAAAACACTTTTTTTTTTTTTTCCAAGGCAAGAGTCTCACTGTCACCCAGCCTGGAGGAGTGCAGCGGCACCATCTTGGCTCACTGCAACCTCCACCTTCCAGGTTCAAATGATTCTCCTGTCTCAGCCTCCCGAGTACCTGGGATTACAGGCACCCATCACCACGCCTGGCTAATTTTTTTGCATTTTGTTAAAAGAGACAGGGTTTCAACATGTAGTGATCCACCTGCCTTGGCCTCCCAAAGTGCTGGGATTACAGGCATGAGCCACTGTGCCTGGCCAGGAGAGAAAACACTTAGAGGAAAAAAAAAAAGCTGGAAGTTTGTGTATATACATATATTACCCATCCCCCTCACCTACCTTCTCCTTTCAGAAATAAATTCCGTAATATAATGTCAACGCTTCGGTTAGACCTATAAACTGATTGCTACAAAGTGGAAAGATCTCCTTTATGTTAGAAACATCAACCAACTGTAGGGCCAGGTGCAGTGGCTCATGCCTGTAATCCCAGCACCTTGGGAGGCTGAGGCAGGTGAATCATGAGGTCTGGAGTTTGAGGCCAGTCTAGCCTACATGGTGAAACTCCGTCTCTACTAAAAATACAAAAAATTAGCTGAGTGTGGTGGTGGATGTCTGTAATCCCAGCTACTCAGGAGGCTGAGGCAGGAGAATCAATTGAACCTGGGAGGCAGAGGTTGCAGTAAGCCAGGATTGCGCCACTGCACTGCAGCCAGGACGACAGTTCGAGACTCCAACTCAAAAAAAGAAAGAAACATCAACTGTAAAAGATGGGGTGGGGGAAAGCAGGAGGTACATGAAGGGAAGAAATCCACTGGGCAGGAAATGAGAAGGGTGGGATTCTTTTTTACCGTGGGCCTACCCCGCTTTACCTAGCTGGATGGTCTTGGGCAAGCCATGTCACTTTTCCAGGCTTCACTTACTCAATATCACTACAGGACTACTGGACAGGTGAGGTCAACTAACCAGCTTTAAAATCCTATTAGGTTAACAGAAGACAATGATCAATTCAACTCTGGAGAAAAAACAGTAAATAATGTATCACAGCAATTGATTTTTCAAAAATCTAGTGACACAGAAAAAACAGTTTAGTGTGGCAGAAATATCACTTGAGATAACAGCAAGAAATGAAGGGTTCAAGTCCCAGTTATGGGCACAGATAAGTTACTCTCTGAGCCTCAGTTCTCTATCTATAGAAAATGATGATAATAATTCCTGCCTAATTCAAATCAAGAGGTTATAGGTAGATCAAATGAATATCTATTAAGGTGCTTAAGCTAGATGTAAAATAGCATCCAAATGAAGATGTTACTAATAACAAAGATTATAACACTAAAAGATCACTGATAACCTGAAAAGCTCCAAGTTACATGAAACTTCCTAGAATACTGTTTGAATTTACAAGACCAAAAAACCTCAATTACAATAGCTATATCTGGAGCTTATATTATGCCAAATATTCAACAAAATATTTACTAGGGATCTACTATGTGCAGGCAAGGTATTAAATGCTGGAAATGCAAAGATGTGGCATCAAAGCCACATATGTGGCCTTGAGGAACTTGGTGGGAAGCAGAGGAGTAATAAGCACAAAAGCAAATAAATACAATGTGAAAAGTGACAAAACACAAGGCTGGGCACGGCGGCTCACACCTGTAATCCCGGCACTTTGGGAGGCTGAGGCAGGAGGATCACCTGAGGTTAGGAGTACGAGACCAGCCTGGCCAACATGGTGAAACCCCGTCTCTACTAAAAATTATAAAAAATTAGCCAGGCACGGTGGCAGGCACCTGTCCCAGTGTTTGGGTGGCTGAGGCAGAAGAATCGCTTGAACCTGGGAGGTAGACATTGCAGTGAGCAGAGATCACACCACTGCACTCCAGCCTGGGTGACAAGAGCAAAACTCCATCTCAAAACACGAAAAAGTGACAAAATATGAAGGTGTTATGTAAACCAAACAAAGAAGTTCATCCTAGGTGTCAAAACCCAAACTCATCTTAGGTGTCAAAAATAATGAAATCTAAGGTACATCTTAAAAACTTGCAAGATTTCATCAAGTGGATACTGAATACAAAGAAAAGTAGCACACAAGAGCTTCTCTGCGCTCTCCCTAGGTGACAGCATCCACTCTCTGTTGATGGTTCCTGGATGTACCCCTCTAGCCATGACCTGCTTAGGCATCTCCTGACTGACTTGTCCTAAATGGAACTCTTGATTTGCCCCAAACCTGGTCTAATCGAAGTCTTCTGACTCAATCTCTAAAATGTACATCAATTGTTTTCATTTTTCTCCAACTCCGCTGCTGTCACCAAGGTCCATCACATCATGCCTTTACTAAGGTAAGATGTCTCCAACTGGTCACTCTGCTTCTGCTCTTGGTCCCTGTGATTTATTTCCCACAGGGTCGGAGACATTCTATGAACACAAATCTGTCATTCCTATTTGAAATCAACCAATGGCTCCGCAATGCACTCAAAATAAAATCCAAGCTCCTTCAATGTGTGCTCCCAGGGCCCAGGATGATCTGGATCCTGCAGGGCTCTCCATCATCACTTTGCTTGGCACATGGCCTTCTGTCAGTTCAGAATATGTCAATCTCTCTCCACCCACAAGTCCCGTGTATTTACAAGGTATAAATTACGAGCCCTGGGGTGGACTGGGGGTATCGGTTTTATGTCAAAACAAACACACACAAAATACTTAAGAGCTTACATGCTTAAGTAAAACATCTCAGGAAAACATGAAAATGTACACATACAAAGAGACAAACAGCTACAAGAGGCACATGACTATCTACAGGTCCTTGTCATCCCTGGCAATTTTCGGCATCGGTGACTTTACTAGCTTTTATTCCCGGCTAAGTAATTTTTCACACTTTCCCAATAATTTATTGGCCTCCTTTTTCTACAGCAGATGAATGTCCTCTGCCCCAACCTTAAGATAAAATGTCTATGAAAGAACTCAGATGGCAAATGGTTGGTGAGACCAATGGGCTACTGATGCACTGCACATATGAGATAATCAGCAATGGCAGTATCCCTAATGAGTTCTGTAACAATAATCTGCATAATTAATTAAATAGAAACCAGGAAGACATCAGCAGGAGGAATGTCAAGTACAGTGAGGCAAGAACTGGGGAAAAGGTGGCAGGTCTACAACTGTGCTGTCCAATATGGTAGCCACTAGCCACACACGACTTAAAATGTAGATGAATTAAAATGAAGTAAAATTAAAAATCAGTTTATCAGCCACACTAGTCACAATTTGAGTGCTCAAAAGCCACATTTGGCTAGTAGCTATCATATAGACAGTATAGGTATAGAAACAGGTATTGATTTTGGGGGCCCGAAGGTCTCTGTCACAACTATTCAATTCGGCTGATACAATGCAAAATCAGCTGGACAACATGTACAAAAATGAGCATGGGTGTGTTCCAATAAAACTGCTTATGGATAAAAAAATTTGAGTTTCATATAATTTTCGTGTATCACGAAATATTCTCTTGATTTTTCTTCAGTCACTTAAAAATGCAAAAACACCATTCTTCACTCATGGGCAGCACAAAATGAAGCAATGAGCTGGATTTAGTTTGTGGGCTATAGTTTGCAAGTTACTGATACAGAAATTTCCATTGCCAAAGGTGGTTCTGTTGTACTATGTTGGTCTCGGGGGAACATTAAAGGGAGAAGAAAAGAAAGGATTTTGTGGCAGGGTCAGAAAGCACAGGAATGGGCTTTCCACATCTGATGGAATAATATGTGAATGATTAGGCTTAATTTATGACACTCTTGAGAGGCCAATAAAAATTATAGTTAAGATGTATTTCAGTTGAACATAAAAATTACCGTCAATCAGTTAACATTAATCAAAGT